AGAAATGTATCCATTTCTTCTGGGTTTTCCAATTTGTTGGTAATTCAGTGTAATCTCTTATTACCCTGTGTATTTGTGTAGTATTCATGTAAGGATTCCTCCTTCATTTATACTTTTGAGTTCTCTCATTTTTGTTCCAATTTTAGTATATGTGCTGCCAAAGCAAATTCTCTTATTTTCTTGGTTAAGTCTAGCTAATGGTTTTTCCGTTTTTGCCTTTAAATTAAAAAAAAAAAAAATCAGCTCTTAACTCTATTGGTCTTTTCTATTGTCATTTTAGTCTCCATTTCTTTCCACTCTGATCTTTGTATTTCCTTCTTTTATTAATTTAGGGCTTGGTTTGTTCTTCCTTTTCTAGTTCCTCGAGGTGTAGTTAGTATGTTTATTTGAGATTGAGATCTTTCTTGATTCATAACGTGAGCATTTATCACTGTGAACATCCCTATTAGAATTGCTTTTGCTGCATCCCATAAGTTCTGGTATGTTGTACTTCCATTTTCACTTGTGTGCACATTTTTTTAAAAAAGATTTTTAAGTAACCTCTGTACCCAACACGGGGCTCAAACTCCCAACCCGGAAATCAAGGGTCACGTGCTCTGCTGACTGAGCGAGCCAGGTGCCCATGTCCATACTTAAGTGTATTTCTCTTTTGATTTCTTCTTGGACCCATTGATTATCAGTAGCATGTTTTTAACCTCCATTTGTGGTGAATTTTCCACTTTTTCTTCTTATAATTGATTTCTAGTTTTATACCACTGTTAAGTCACTGGATATGATTTCAAACACCTTAAAATTAGTAAGATTTCTTTTGTGGCCTAACCTGTGATCTATCTTGGATGGTATTCCATATGCCCTTGAGATGAATGTGTATTTCTGTTGTTGGATGGGATGTTCTGTAAATATCTAAGTCCATCTGGTCTGACATGTTGATTCAAGTCCAGTGTTTCCTTACTGATTGTCTGGATGATCTCTCCATTGTTGAAAGTGGAACACTGAAGTCTCCTACTCTTGCATTGTGCTCCTATGTTGGGTGTGTATATATTTAAAATTGTTTAACTTCCTCTTGGATTGCCCCCCACTTCTTTATATCTTATACAGTTTTTGTCTTAAAGTCTGTTTTGTCCAAAGCAAATACAGCTACCCTGCTTCCTTTGGCCTCCATACATGGAATGTCTTTTTCCAACCCTTCACTTTGAGTCAGTGTGTCCTTGAAGCTGAAGTGAATCTCTTGCAGGCAGCAAGAAATAAGCAAGACAGCTACTCTGTGTCTTTTGGTTGGAGAATTTAGTTCATTTGTATTTAAAGTTATTATTTAAAGGTATGGCCGTTTTGTTAATTGTTCTCTGGCTGTTTTGTAATTTCTTTGTTTCCTTCTTCATCTCTTGCTCTCTTCCTTTGTGATTCGATAATTTTTTGTGGTTGGCATCCTTAGATTCCTGTCTCTTTATCTTTTGTGTATCTACTATAGGTTTTTGTTTTGTGGTTACCATGAGCCTATATATAAGATACTTGTAACAGTCTAAGCTGTAACAACTAACTTCAAACGCATACAAAAACTACACTTTTACACTCCCCCACCACACTGGTTTTGATGTCACAATTTATATTGTTACCTTGAACACCCATTAAAAATTTTTGTAGTTAAACTTATTTTTAATATTTTTGTCTTTTAACCTTCATACTAGAGTTTTAATTTGCCCACCACCATTACAACATTAGAGTATTATGAGTTTGACCATGTATTTGTCTCTACCAGGGACACTTGAACTTTTAAATGTCTCCTTGTTACTAATTAGCATCCTTTCCTTTCAGGTTGAAGAAGTCCCTTTAACATTTCTTGTGAGACTGGCCTAGTGGTGATGAACTGCTTCAGCTCTTGCTTGTCCAGAAAACTCCCATTCAAACCTGAAGAACAACTTTGCTGGGTAAAGTATTGGTTGGCATTTTTTTTTTTTCCTTTCAGCACTTAGAATATATCCTGCCATTCTCTTCAGGCCTGCAGACTTTGCTGAAAACTCTACACTAGTCTTAAGGGGTTTCCCTTGTAGGTAACAAGTCATTTTTTCTCTTGCTGCTCCTAAGATTCTCTCCTTGGCTTTAGCTTTTGACAGTTTAATTATAATGTGTCTCAATGTGGGGCTGGGTGGATTCATCTTTTTTGGAACTCTCTGGGCTCCCTAGATCTGGATTTCTGTTTGCTTCCTCAGGTTAGGGAAGTGTTCAGCCATTATTTCTTTGAATAAGCTCTCTGCCCCTTTCTGTCTTCTCCTTCTGAGACCCCAGTAATGCAAATATTTGTCCACTTGATGTTATCACATACGTGCTTTAAGTTCCCTTCCTCTGTCTCCTTTTCTGATTGGATGAGATTCACCGTCCTGATTTCGTGGATCCTTTCTTCCACGTGGGAAAGTCTGACTCCTTCTTAAGTTTTCAGTTCAGTTACTGTATTCTTCAGCTCTGATTTCTCTTTGGTACTTTTCTATTTTCTTTTTTTAAATTCTCACCTTGTTTATATATTGTTCTCCTAACCCAGTGAGCATCTTTATGGCTGTTACTTGTCAGACAAATCACTTCTGTTTCATTAAGGTCTGGTTAAATTTGATCTTGTTCTTTTGTTGAGCACAAATCCCTGTTTCTTCATCTTCCTTGACTCACTTAGGTGGTTTCTACCCATTGACCTTGTGTGTGGGAGACGAACGTCTTCAGTCAGCCTGACCAGTCTTGGTTGTCTCTCAGTCTTCTGTGATCACCTCTGCTGCTTGTTGCTTTCCAGTGGCTCCCAGCACTTGAGGGTGTGCGAGGACGCGAGTGTCTGGGAGGGGAGGACTGCAGTCAGCACCTAGATGCAGGCGGGACTGTCCGGCAGCAGCTGACAAGGTATGTCGTTAGGCCTTTCCCAAGAGAAAGCAGACAACAGACTTTGTGGCCAGCAGCCTCTGCACTGGAGCCGGGGTGGGGGGAGGAGGGTTGCTCCTGCACCCGCTAATTGCTTCTTTGCTACAGTTCTTTGCAATCCAAGAGTGCAAGTCCTGTTGCCTGTCAAAGCCAGGTTACCCAGGGACTCAGGCTTTGGGTGGCAGCTACAAAAGGAAGAGCACCAGACATACATGCAAACTACTTTTAGAAGATACTTGTATCTGTAAGGAGTTCAAGGGAGAAGTCAGGGGTAGGGTCTGCTGGCTCCCCGGTCTCCGGGGAGGATCACCGTGCACTCCTAGATCTGTGCTAAATGCTTTTGCTCCGTAAAAACTACCACTTCCTTTTTCCTCTTTGTCTTCAGGTTCCCTAGAACTTTATTTTTAATGATCTTTTCTTTATAAAAGCATTCTTGTCCTGTTTCTGCCTTGACTACTAGTAATTTGTGATACATACTACCTTCTCTTTTTACTTGATAATGGAGTTTTTCAGCTTTTATCTTCTATAGTAATTTATTGTAGAACTTATTTTACATTCTACTGGCATTTGCCTTTAGTTAGCGCGTGTAATTTTTTTTACCCTGATTTTACTACATTCCCCTGCCTCTCCAGCCAGTCCTTTTAAACTTTAAATTTAAAAATTAAGAAAATTAAAAATTTTACATTCTTGAATTCTTAATTTTGATTCTTTCCATGTGCTGATAATAAACTTTGTCATTTTCGGAGGAAATAGTAGAGCATATTTTATAAGCTCTTGCATGCCCAGAAATTCCTAGTATCTTTGTTTCATTAAAAATATGTAGATGTTGGTCACTTGTCTTCTAGTATTTATTAAAACAAGGACTGAGGCTACCTATTTTTCCACCTAGATATTTTCTCCAGAATCTTAGTAGGGTTCTGTTAATTTTGCTAATGAAATAAGGCCTTCAGCGTTTTTCTATTATAATTAATCCTTGGGAGTACCACGTGGTTTTTTTGTTTTGGTGGGGTTTTTTTTTCCTTTTTAAGAAATACCATTTACTCCTGGTTCTATATTTTTCTTTTCCTCTCCCCGAACTGTCAGCAGGCTTTCCTCTGTCACTGACTTTGAGATGCAGTGTTACTTCTGCTTGTCTTCAGTGAAGTATTCTAATAGAGTTTGGGTTTTCTTTTCTTCGTGGGTCTTGGCCCCTCCTGTCAGAGTCAGGACGGAGGCCCACTGAGCACAGCTGCAACGGGGACTGCTTGGATCAGGCCGGCTCAGCTCCTGACCAGGCAGCTTGGCCCCAGACCTTGCAGTCTCCCTACTCCGGGCCTCAGTGTCCTTCTCTGCACCTGAGAGGAAATGATAGCACCGACCTTCTTGAGTTCTTGTGAGGATCAAAGGATTTAGTACATAATGAGCCACAAATATTAGCTGTGATTACTATACAGATATATTTTTTTTAAGTATTCTGTCTGAATCTTAACATTTTTTTCCTTATATTGTCTTTTTGCTCCTTCTTAGGTAAGGATTCACAAGAATCATTTGCCAGGAGATTGTGTATATGGGACCTTTTCTGCCCCTTCCCTCTCCCACCGCTGTCTGTCTCAACCGGAAAAGGAGCGTCCCTTCGCGGAGCCACCGTTGAGGTGGGTGCACACAGCCCCTGCCCACAGTGTGCTGCTCTCCTCCCAGAAGAAATGCAGTTCCCAATACTTGGGCTGCATTTTCTCCTGCTTAAGAACAGAGTCTCTGCACCTGATAAATCCGTTCAGCTGAGCAGCTCCCTCTGCCCCAGCTGCTGTAGTTAGTAATCCAGAGGCCAAACCCCTGGGTTTTCTCAGACCTGCTACCCCCTCAAATCCTGCATGCTCACCTTGGGAGAGACTGTACCCCCTCTAGACCCGAGCACGCGGATCTATCCTGTTTCCAGCAACACTGTGCTCACTTCCACTCAGTTAGCTATCATGACGTTCATTTGACCTCGGACAATCCTCAAAATAGAAATGAGGATTTCTTCTGTAAAACGGGAGCCTCTACTCCTAAGTAACAGCGGCATACTGGTATTTCAAATAGTATGGCTTGATAAAAACTATTCTGAACTACTAAAGATTACAAAAGACTTAAAGCAGAAGAAAACATTTATTGATAATTTCAAAGGGATTGAGAGTTGATCTTGTTCTCTTATTGTAAAAATGTTAGAAAAAACAACAGAACCTGAAACAGATTGAGCATACAAGCTGACCCAGGGCGGTCAGTCACACTGAGGGCGGCAGACCTTCTGGCCACGTAGGACTGTTGCGATCGTTGCTTTAGACGATACGCGTTGCCTACAGCTTCTGGATCAGCAGGGCAGACGCTCCCCCTCCTCCATTGCAGATACTGGCGAGACCGTACTCCCCTTGCTTCAAGGCCTGAACCAAGTGAACAACAATCCTGGCTCCGGACATCCTAGGATTAAGAAGGCACTTGTGTTCTTTAACATAAATTACAGAATACCTGACCAAACCAAGTTTCCATTCCATATGCACTTGAAAAGTCTATTAGAGCATTTAACTCCTTCCCTTCAATGTGGGAGACGTGTTTCAAAAACGGTTACAGCTTTTTTTAAAGCCCGAGCATAGATTTTAATCTTAAAACACCACTAGTTTTCCGGCAACTGCCTGTGGCAGATCTGTGTTCAGTGTTAGATCCTATCAAAAATGGTGTTTGCCCTTCGAAGGACAGATGGGAAGGAAACCGGTTCGACCAGGAGTAATAGGAATGAGCACGAAGCGGTTAAGATTTAGACAAAACTACGAAGGCCGTTATGTTGCCATTAGCCTAGACAGAGTCATCTGACTTCACCTACCCAATCGGATGTCCCAGAGAAACCGCTCCTCCATTGATGTTCACCTTCTGGGGATCGAGGTCCAGCATTTTAATGTTTGCTAGCACAACCAGACTAAAGGCTTCGTTCACTTCCCACATCGTAATATCCTCTTTTTTCAGTCCTGCATCTTTAAGAACCTAAAATTTTTTAATGATCGATTAACAGTCAAAACTTATTTTCATTATTTTCTTGGAATTCTGCAGTTTGGGTTGCTATTTATTTCCCCTTGATGCAAGAGATACTTAAATATGGAGTTTCTTAGTTTTCAGGAGGAAGAGCTTTTTTATTTTCTGATTTTAATGTCTCACTGCACTGTAAGCAAAGAATTTTGTTTGCATTATTTCTATTTTGCAGCAATAGAAAGAACTAGATTTTCTTGAACGTTCTGTGGATACCTGAAAAGAACACATATTCTCTATTTGGGGGTTGTAACTTGATAGTCTTTCGATCTACTTTACTACATCGCTCAGTTGTAGACTATTGATCTGTCAAGTGAGAGAGGTCTGTTAGTTTCTACTATTAGTACAGTTGTTTTTCACTGCATCTCCTATAGTTTTTCCTTTATAAAAGCTGCTCTGGGGTTATATGGGCACAGACATTCTTAGCTATTGTATCTTCACTGCAAATTATCTAAATAGTTCATCAGCGGTGCAGGAAGGTGTGATGGTGCTAATAAATAATGGTTATGCTTATATTTTTATAAAATTCTGCTGTCCTTTTTCTTTAGAAATTGTTGTTGTTGTTGTGAGCAACAATAAAATTCATTGGAAACTCTTCCTCCCCTTTCCTCTCTTCCTCCAGCAGGCCCCACGTTTCAGGCTGTACAGCTCCTCCCGCACAAGACCCATGGGGCCCCTGCCCTGGCGCTCAGTCAAGCTGCGGTCAGGACTGGAGCTGTACCTTCAGAATCCAGAACTGCTTCTCACCCTCGCTCTCTAACGTGATGCATTCACTTTCAGAAGCTGTGTCATTCTGTTCCTTTCTGAGATCCGCCACCCCATCGTTTCTGATCCTTTCTTCCCATAATCCTCACTGATTTCTGCTCAGTCTGGGTGCTGGTCTCAGAAGTTCCCTCCCAGGGTGAAGCCCTCTCCTTCTGAAAAGGAGTATTTGCTGGAATCTTCTGAGATCCTTCAGCACCATCTCTTCCTGTGACCCCTTAGCAACTTCCCTTAGAGACAGTGATAGCTTGGAGTAAGACCAGCTCCCAGCAATTCCCTTTCAGAATGGAGACCTCTCCCAGTAGTGAATTATTTGAATTCTAGAACCAGTACCTTTATTATTTTTTCTTTGCCACGCCGACCTCCCACTTTGTGGTTACCATACCAGGTGTGAGTGAGCATCCTACTTAAAAATAATTACATAGTTTGTGTCTGTTCCACTGAAGCTCTAGTGTGTGGGTTGCTCAAACTGTTTTCAGAAGTTGGAAGATTTGGGGGCCCCCTTGGTGGCTCAGTCGGTTAAGCATCTGACTTCAGCTCAGGTCATGACTTGGGGGTCCTGGGATCGAGCCCCGCAGTAGGCTCCCCACTCAGTTGGGGAGCCCCTCTCTCCGCTCATGCTAATAAATCTTAAAAAAAAAAAAAATAGCTTGGTTTCAAATCTTCCTATCTCTAGGCCTCCTCAGATGCATAACATTTAAAACCCAAACCCTGCAGCTTTGCTCTCAGCAGAACAGACGCTGATATGGTGGAGTACCGCTCCCTCACCAGGTTCTCACCTTAGGTACAGCATATGCAGGTGCAACTGGAAAATCAACAGGTTCAACAGCAGCATCAGCAAATGCTTTATTAAAAAAAAATAGGTCATTAAAATCTTTTTTACAAGTGACTCACATCTGTCATTAGATATAATATGCAAAACTGCAAGCTTCCTAACCCCAATAATATATGTTAATGCATTTGTTCCTTTTCTAAGATTCTAGGCTTTATAAAATTAGAGCCATCATCTAGGCCACTGACTTTCATTAAGTAGGGGGTTGGGGGATATCTGCCTCCAGGGACACTGGCATTAGCTAGAGATCATTTAGGTATGCAGCAGCTAGGACGCCGCTTCCTGCAGCATCCGGGGGTAGAGGCTGAGGAGGCGACTGCACGGAGTAGCCTCAGGAACAAAGACTGACTTGCTGCAAAATCTCAGAAGTGCTGAGGTTAAGAAACCCAAGATCCCAGCTAAAAATGAAGGGGTGCCCGAATGGCTCGGGGGGTTAGTAAGGCATCTGACTTGGTTTCGGCTCAGGTCACCATCCCAAGGTAGTGGGATTGCGTGGGCTCTGTGCTCAGCGGGGAGTCTGCTTGTCCCTGTCCCCCTGCTCGTGATTCTAATAAATCTTTTAAAAAAAAATAAGGAAGTCGTGAAGCCTTTTTATAAAGTAACAAAATATTTAACTCATTAACAAGGCAGATTTTACAGCTAAAAATATGTTTGAGGAGACCGAGGGTATGACAAGTCACATAGATAAATGCCAAAATACCTAGACTTCCTAGTTCTACACCCCTAATTTCATATTCTTTTTGAGCTGCGCGGTTACGTTGCCCCTTCGCGCCAGAACACGGACCTTCTGTTCTCCCGCCCATCAGAGGACGGGAAAGCATCTTAACGCTCACTCTTGTACAGAGTGAGTTACAGCGAGTCACTGAAGGGCGCCTATCTCAACCTCGCTGCCGCCTGCGGACGGAAGCCGCCGGCCCCAGCCGCGCC